TGCCACTTCCACTCCCTCCGTCCTCTTGTTTATCTTTATTTCCTGCGCTGTGGACGTGAATGAGGGTGGACAGAGGGGGAGGGGGTAATTCGAAGTCAAACGAGTCAAACGCCACGTGGGCAAGATTCCAATAAAGTTGTGGAAGGATGAGGATTATGTATTTGGAATCAAATGAACCAAGGTTGACGGGGGGTTGGAGGGGGTTGCGAGAGATGCGTGATATAAGTGATTTAAAGGTGGGGGTTTTTAAGGTTTTTGTTTCAATGCAAAGTTTCGAGAGGGTGGGGATAATTTGGAATGAAATGAACCGAAGATGAGGTTTTGTCGAGGATTGAAGAAGTTGGAGGGGGAGATTGTTGGAGAATTGTGCGTAAAGTTGTGTTTGAGATTGGTGATTTAGCAAGATTTTATGGTATTCTAAGAGGGTGAGGTTTATTAGAGATAATTTCGAAAGAAACGAGCTGAAATTGCGTTTTGGAATTTAGAAAGATTATTATTGTATTGTAGATTCTATCATATATAAATGCAAAAGGATAAACTAGAGACAAAAAAGTAATGTTTGACGAAGATTCAAGAGATTGAAAGAGATTATGAGATATAAAATCTTTTTCTATTGAATAAGGATACAAAGGATATAAGCTAGAACGAAGATTTCTTAATAAGAAAGGAAAACTTGATGTAAAATTGATGTTTGAAAAAGAGCTTAAATATTCGAAAAATCTATGTTCAAGAAAAGTGACTTGATGTAAATTTAAAATCTCATTTATTACGAGTAATATTTTCTTTTAGTCTTTTAATCGATCAAGTTTAATTCCACATAAAAAACTGGATCTATAGGATATTTAAAAAAAGAAATGATATTCCTTTGCCTAAAAAAAGTCTCTGCCCTCTCGTGGGCAATGAACATCCGTATCTTCTCTCGTTAAAATTATCAAACCTAAATTAACGCCACAAAGGATCCAATTCTCCATCCCTTCGTCGATAACGAGATCATTGTTACCACGGCTTCGTGCGGCAGGTGACCAGGTCGACGAGGATCGAATGAATATCATTGTGGAGTACGGTCATGTTGCACGAAGAAGTTGATCATCGTTGAAGAGGATCCTCGCGGGAACGTATGGGATTTCCTATGGGTCGATCCCCGGCCAATCCGCTCGAACGTGAAATCGGATCCAACCACAGGAACGAGGTTAGAAGCGTTGTCGATGCCTCGCGACATCCCTTTCCAAGGAAGGGTGGCCGTGTAACGGTAAACTAGCTTTCGAATCGGTTGGTTATGCCTCTAAGAAACCGATATTCGCCTCGATGTAAATAAATCGCGTTCCTGGGGATCTGTTTCCGTTCCATCCGCCAGATTAACTTTTGTCGACGTGATCGTTGACGAGGATATCTTGGTTCAGGTTACTTGTTACTCTCGAGGGATTACATCGATTCCTAACGTAAAACGATGATTGAATTCATGGCTTGAGAGATACTTCGAGTTATTGAAATTGAAATTGAAAAAAATTTAAAAAGAGAAGAGATAGATGTTTTCAGAATTGGAATTGAGATCTTTTTTAACATGTAATATAATAACGAAAGAAATTCGAAATATCTACAAAATATTCATTATCATATTTAAAAAATGAAATAAATCTCGAATTCATAAATTGAAAGGAGGATAAATTGAAATTTTATCATATTCTTTTCAAGAATAGGGTACTAGATAAAATAAACAAAATAATGGTACAAAAAAATAAAATATCATGGACATGTTTTCAATATATCATTAAATTTCAAAAATGTAGATCAATATCGAGATGTTTGATATCGAGATCTTTGAACTACTATGAATAAAAAGACTTACTATTCTTAGAAAACTATTGAACGAGAGAACAAGAGAAAACAAGAATGATATACTGTAAAAAAGGAGTTATGAATATTTTTGGAATTTATCGCGTATTGCTCTGTTTCACAAATGATATATAAGATTGACTTAAAGTCGAATTTTCTGTCTCGTGAATCTTTTTACATGGACTTTTGCTAACAGAGTAGCTTCCTGGACAAGGTTCCATCAAAGAACCGCAAATTAATGCAAGCCATTCCCGACTTCCAAACTCAATTCCGAGAAAACTCACTGCGACAGAATTACTCAAAGGGGAAGCGGAGGAAAATGAGTTAAAAGTGAGGAATGTAATAAAATCACTCTGACATCATCATTTCCACTTTGCTGTGAATCACTGGACACTTGATAACATCATGTATCACATATATACGATATTCCAATTCTTTCATAACTAATATTGTTTATTTTCATGAAACTTAACTTAAGATTATGCAAAGAATGATTAACCATTTTTGCTCATTACGTTTTTATTTTCTTTCATTTTTTTCTTTTTGTATTTTTTTTTAAGCGACAATATATTCATAATTATCACTTAAACTATGAACAAAAAAATTGATAAAATTGCATCAATTTCTACGAGCCAAAAAATATTTTTACTAATTAAAAAGTACCAATATTATTCGAATATTTTTTAATTTTAAATAAAAATTTATCAAGACTTCTGATAAGAAATCTCAAAAGAGATTATATAACACCAATACGGCCATTGATTTTAAACAAAAAATTGATCGCAATAAGACCTTGCAAAACTACAAACGAATAAATACCAATCTTATCCCGTAACAGAATTACATTCTACTCCAAATTTACCACAATTACCAAATATCCGATGACTTATTTCCATCAAGGCTACCGTGGTTAAAACATTCCACATCTCATAACATATCCAATTCTCCCCTCAAATCGCAGCAACAACTTCGAACAATCTCCATTTAATCACATCCCGCAGTTCCGCTGCGATTAATGCCACCCCCGTATTGCAGATTAGCGAACGTTCCAAGTACACGAGTGGCCCGTACAAGGGGTGCACGACGGCATTCGAGACGAGACGCAAGGTCCTCCTAATCCAGATAAACGCTCGTACACGCTCGAATGTATCGAGCCTATCGAGGCTCGACTTACATCGATGGTTCTCCGCTGGCCATTCCGCGCTTTTACGCGCCTCTTAAGCGATTTAACGTAAA